TTTTCCAGAGAAAGTTCATAATGAGAAGAACTCATCTGAAGAAGGAAGAAGAAGTTCATAATGAGAAGAATTTGTTCAACCTTTTACCTGAATTCATCAATTGATGGATCAGCCTTTCCAGAAAAAGTTCATAATAAGAAGAACTCATCTGAAGAAGGATGAAGAAGTTCATAATGAGAAGAATTTGTTCAACCTTTTGCTCAAATCTATCACTTGATAGATTAGCTTTTCCAGTTCGAGTTCATAATAAGAAGAACTCATCTGAAGAAGGATGAAGAAGTTCATAATGAGAAGAATTTGTTCAACCTTTTGCTCAAATCTATCACTTGATAGATTAGCTTTTCCAGTTCGAGTTCATAATAAGAAGAACTCATCTGAAGAAGGATGAAGAAGTTCATAATGAGAAGAATTTGTTCAGATTTTTGCTCAAATCCATCACTTGATGGATCAACTTTTCTAGAGAAAGTTCATAATGAGAAGAACTCATCGAAAGAGGGATGAAGAAGTTCATAATGAGAAGAACTCATCAAGAGCTTATTCAACCTTTTGAATGACTCTATCACAAAAAGAAAGAGGTCAACATCATCCCCAGCGGAAAGTTCATAATGAGAAGAACTCATTTGAAAGAAAGAGAAGAAGTTATTCAACATCTCCATGCATAATCAAGTGAAGCCAAATGGATAAAAAATTTATTATCTTTTCATCTTTGCCCTATTCCTGTTAACACAAGAATGAGCAAAGAGGGGCAGCTGAAGATACTAATTTTTTACCCATATTGATTTATTATTATTATTTTTATTATTATTATTATTATTATCATTATTATTATTATTATTATTAAATATATTAAATGCATATATAAATAATAATAAAAAATATATATACAAGCCCAATCGACCGACCCAAATACAGAAGCCCAATGAAACCCTAAACCAGATTAGGGTTTTCCTCTACCCAGCCGCCTCAGCTTGCTGCCGTTGGATCTGGCATAATCCAACGGTCCAAGAACCTCCAGATGCAAACCCTAGGGTATGATACCCTAGGGCCACGCGGCCGCCGCTGCTGCTCTCGCCGTCTCCACCGCTACCACGTCCCAATCGAAGGCTCCAGAAGCTCCAACGCCAGCCGTCCACGCCATGGCTATGGGGTGAGTCACCACTGGTAGTCCGGTGACTTACCGAAGGGTAGTCTATTACCCGGTCCGATGACCACACCGGTGATGGCTATAAAGCCATCAGCCCATCTGCAAGCAAAAAAGAGAACAGACAGAGACGGAGAGAAAAACAGAGAAACAAGATACTAAAAAAAACTACTACCAACGATCTCAGCAGCAAAGAAACAGAAAAGAAAGAAAAGAAAGAAAAAGAAGAAGAAACTTACCGAGGAAGCCCCGACCACCGGACCTCACCAAAACCTTCGAAAAAACGAAGGTATATTTCTTAGATTTGCTCCGATCGGGAGCTGTTTAAAGGAAAAAGTCATCGGGACCGTCATTAGGACGGTCCGATCTATGTTTTAGTATAAAAAAAAATTCCGGCCACCAAAGGCGGTGGCCGGCGGCGGTGGCTGGCAGCGGACGAACACCGGCAGACGGATGCCGGCCGTCTGGCTTCTCTCTATTTTAGAGAGAAGCGAGAGAAAAATTCTCTCTCTCACAGAAGAGAGAGAGAGGAAAAATAGAGAAATGAAGCTGGCCCTTCGGGCCAGCCGGGTTTGGGCATTAAATAGCCCTTCCCAAACGACGCCGTTTTGGGGAGGGCTATTCGTGTAATTAATAATAGTTAAATCCTTTCCGCAGTCTTCTGAATTTGTAAACTTTACATTTTAGTCACTAAATCGAATTTATAATCCTTTTAATTTGATCTCTAAATTTTAATTTTATTTATTTTAGTCCTTTATATTAAAATAATATATTTAGGGTAAATAACAGATTTAGTCCTATAACTTTAATAATTAATATTTTAATCCCGAGTTTATATTTTTAATTTATTTTAATCTGATATTCGAATTTTAGATAAGTTTTATTTTAGTCACTAAATTAATAAAAAAAATAATATGTTTAATCCCTATAATTTTGATTAATTATGAATTAGATTTTTAATTTTAATTTTAATATAATTTAGTCACTATTTTTAAATGTGTTCATTTATTTTACTGCTTTTAAATATATCATTCTAATTGTATTTTTATCATTATTTATTTTACTGCTTTTAAATATATCATTATAATTGTATTTTTATTTCTTTATTTAAATATTTTTATTATATAGTCATAAATATATATAATAAATAATAATTTATATTTTTTTCAATAAATTATTTTAATATTTTTCAATATCGAAGAAAATGACAGTCTTAATATAACTGGATGTTCTATTCTGGTATTTTAAAATTAAATATTATTAAAAATTATTATTTAATTTTATTTAAATTTAATTTTATTAATATCAAAGAAAAGAGCTGTCTTAAGGCACCTAGAAGTCCTTTTCTGATATTTTTTTAATAAATAAATATATTCTATATAATTTTGAAATAATAGGATTATAAATTAAATATATTTTTAATTTTTTAATTTTTAATAATAGAGACAATTTATAAAAAAAAAGTACCAATTTTGGGCGTTATAGGGGTGCTAATCCTTCCCTAAACGTAACCGACCACGAATCCATTTTTATTATTAAAAAGAACGAATTTTTGGTTATAAACGCAGATCAGTTCATTTTTTAATTGATGTTTTCTTAAAACTTTTTTTTTAAAAAATAATTTTTAGGTATTCGACCTACCTGATCCAAAAGGTCGATGGCGACTCCCACATTATTTTCAAAACCATTTATTCACATAAATTTTCCCGCCAAGTATAATATTTCGTGCCCGGACAAAAACCGATTACGACACTGAGAAGTAAAAAAATTGTGACCTTGAAAATCAAGCAAGCCTTCATTTGTTGGGAAGAAAACGGGGTGAAATCTTTTGTCTTTTCACATTAATGTATTTGTGCTTTTCCAGTTTCATTGATTTTACCAAAAGGGTAACTGGCGATGCCTGCTTTTTCTTCGATTTCTTCAGTTGGATCCTGTTGGTGCCATTAATAATCTGCAAATCGGTCTAATAATCAGCTGGTGACTGATAATATGTTGGGCGGAGAAAGTGCGTCTTTCAGATACCAATTTCGGCATTGGTCTTGGTTTCTTTGCTTAATTGCCTCGGTTACAGTTTTCGTCTTCCGTTGGTCAAGTTTTCAGTAAGTTGATTGCCTCATGTACCAAATTCATCGGTCGTAGAGATTAGTTAACAACGATAAGCATTAAATACATCATCTTTATACTCTTTCCATCCCACTATTTTTGTTTATTATAAGATTAAGCACAAAATTTTAGTTAACTTATTTAGATTACATGTTAAGTCATATAAAATAAGAAAAATGATAAAATTATCTTTAAAAAGTGATTGCTATATTTAATAGATTTATTTTGATGAGATAATATGATAAAAGTTAAAAATATAAGTGTTTTATTTGTTGACATTTTTAATAGTATATTTTGAATAATATAATCTTAAAATAATTGAAGGAGCACCAGTCGACCAGCGATGAAGGTGGTACATACGTACTTGCATTTTTTTCAATCACTTAACGAGTACATGCATAGAAAATTATATTTAAACATTTTAAAAAATCTAATATATAAACAATGTGAAATGTTTATCATGACAAATGTCACATTTTTATATATGGACTTTTGAAGAGTTTAAATGTAGTTTTTATACATGTATTCTTTAAGTGATTGAAAATAATATATATATATATATGTGTTTCGTCACCGTCCTCAGTTGACCAACTCATACTTGTGAAAATATGTGTCTCTCTCACATACCACGCTAGTTTTTTTATAAAAAAATCATATAATTTTTCACCTATTATTTTTTATTTCTTTCATTTTGGTCATGAATAACGTCAGCATGAAAAAAATCGTCGAATGGCCTATCACGTAGGCAAAGATGACCTTCTAAAAACACGTCTTCATCTTACATGGCTGAAATGAGTGCCATGATGTGAAATAAAGTCTTTTGGGGTAATACTTTAGTAAAAAGAAAAAAAAAGAAAAAAAACGCATTATTTAGATATAATTACGTTGAACATATACTACCTTGTACTTACTTCAACTTAATAAACAAAAATTACGTTGAACTCAAAAACTTGAGGAGAACAACATTATCTCTATCACTAGGACCTTTCTTGAATTTTATAATCAAACTTATTATATTACAAATTAAAATGAAAGTTTACATAAAAAATACTAGTAAAGTACTAATTAATATTGAGATATAATTCTAAACGTTTATATTATGAGGATATAATTACATCTAATGTAGAATAAAATCGAATCCAACATTGAGACCGAACCCGAAAAGCATGAACTTGAAAATGTTTAAATAGGGATAATAATTTAACACGAAATCGACCCGGCCTAAATAAATAGAATCAGATTTAAAAAAAAAAATCAGATTCGAGTCAAGTTAGATTTTATAAAAGAGTGAAGTATGGTTAGATCGAGTTTGGATGGAGGATGAAAAATCTCCGAACCGTAATCTAAGTAAAACCAATTTGCAACCTCCAAATCTTAATTGATTAAAAGATTGCTATTTTTACTAAAGGAAAAACGATTCCTCATATTTCTTCATTTGGCCGTTAATAGAAGATGCTTATTAAATATTATAATAACTAATCATCCAAATGATTCTTTTATTAAAAATGTTTCAAATGAATCTAGAATTTATAAATTAAAGAAATAGAAAAAATAGAAATAAAAAATTTGATGAACCGAATAAATTTACTTATCCATATAAGAAAAAGAAAAGTTCCTCACCTGATCGACGATTTCCGCGTGGTTTTATACGATAACACGAGTGCTGGAACCGCCAACCCCGATTACTTCGATTTCAATCGTTACGCTACTCTCTAAGGTTACGCTTTTGATTTGCTTGCTATTCTCCTACAACTCCAAGTTGATTCCTGTATTTTCGTTGGCCACTCCGTTTCCGCGCGCCATGGTTGGTGCTATAGCTTCCATTTCCCGACCCGATCTCTTCTCCAAAATCATCACGATCTCGGCTTCCCCAAGGTAAACTGAGATTCCATTAATTACTTTTTTTTAAAATTCAAGTTTAAGCCTTTTTTTCGTTATTGTAGGTATCTGAACGATGTGGATTACTATGGAGGATTTGAGCAAGAAGACTTGGAGCAACTCTTTGAAGCAACGGGAGCCAACTACAAAGCCTGGTGTTCCGGGTTCGTGCCGCTAGCGGTGGGCGGCGACCTGGAATCAGTGGCTGTTCAAGAATTCAGTCGCACCTTTTTCAACATGAGACCCGACATAGCCCTCAGCGTGGCTCAGACCATACTCCAAATTGATACGAGACAAATCCTCAGGCTTGTCACCGTGCCGTGTCATATACTCCGAATTGTTAAAGACTTGGCTGTCCCCGTCGTTGTTTCTGAATACTTACACCAAAACATCACCGGTGAATCATTCGTTGAAGTCATGACGTCCGACGGTCATCTCCCACAGCTTTGCTCGCCTGATATCGTCATCCCAGTGCAGCTTAAGCACATCCGCTATGATATCAGTACAGCATGAAATTAAATATTGCGATTGAAAAAAAATATATTAAGCTTGTTTTAAATCTTAATAATATAGAATGCTGATGTTATTAAGAAGTTAATTGTGATTAGCAAAGTTCATTCCTCGGCGACTGTAAGACTGCTGCCGGTCAATGTTAATGTCATTATAATTTTTTTATAATTAAACTATTAATTTTTTAAAATTAATATTTTGAATAATAACAAATCAATAAAAATTTAAAGTACCACATTAATATTAAATACTCAAAATAATAGTACAATTTAAAGTATTAAATTAATCATATAAATATTTTAAAACTTTTAAAATAAATAATAATTATTCATATTATTAGTACTAATATTTGTATTATTAAAATTATTCCTACTTTCGTATTATAAATATTTATTATAATTATTTATAAATTATTATAATAATTTTTTAAAATATAAATAGAAAGCATATTTCAATAAAATATTAAAAATATTATTTATATTTTATAGTAATTAGTAATATTAAATTATATTACTTAAAATACTATTATTATAATAATATTAAATAATAATTTATGAAAATAATAAATATTATTAATTTATTATATTAATGAAATTATTATTATTATTTATAAAAATTGATAAAATTTGTAGGTTATCCAAAATATAAAGCATAAGTCATTTTTCACTAATAGGGAAAATTATTATTTTTTATTAATATAGGATAATTACAAGTGGTAATATTTGTTCTAAAAACTATCAACCATTTAACAATAAAAGCTAAAATATCCTTAAATTAAAAATAATATAGAACATGTAGCTTTTTAGGTCACAATAAATTTTCAGCTTTAAAAACTACCTTTCTAAAAATTTAAAATTTTAAACTTTGAATTTTTTAAAAGTATTTTTAATAAAACTATTTATTTTATCTTTATTTATATCATCAGTTCTTTTATATATTTAAAAATAATATTTAAAATTTTATTAGTTTAAAAATAATTTCAAACACTTAAATTTTAAATTAAACATTTTAAAAATATTTTTAAAAACGTTTTTACTTATTTTTGAAAGTAATGCAAAACTATCTATCCTTAGGTAATGAGACAAACGTATTGAGAATTTTCAGATTATTTATTTGGAAAATGACGTGTATGATGATGACTGCGTTGATGTGTTAAAATGTGCATCATGGAATAAAAGAGTTTTATTACTTCACAAAGCTTTTTTTTTAAACGAAGTAGGAGGATCCATCTTAATATTAGTTGTGAATCGTGGATGATTATCAGTTATTTTTATTTTTTTATACTTTTTTTCTTAAAGTTTTTTTATTAATTTTAAATAAAAATCTTTGTTACTATGATATGTTTTCTTTTATAGCATGTATTTTTTTCGTTCTTGTGGCATTATCCTTATAATTTTTTGTATATTTTTGCATATATTTGTAGTCATTTTGGTTTTTGCACAAAAACCCTCACGATATTTATTTTTTAATTGGTTTGTCGGTAATCACGTATAATTAAATTGATTTTTTTATGGGATACAAATCAATTTATGGGATACAAGAACTGCAACAGCAGTGAACTATTCCTCTATTAGACCATCCGTATATGCAGCGAGAGATCTTCGAATGCCCTCAGGGGGGCATTGTGGCATTATGAGCTCTTGAGAGCTAGCACGTCCAAGGTGGGCCAACGCATCTGCAACACCGTTTATATCTCGACACTCATATGTAATCTTGATACTCCATTGAAGCTGTAGGAATTTCCGAATTCTTCGAATAATAGCTGGTTCGTTGAACTGTCCAGGGGAGGTATGGATTCGCACCACTTAGCTGTTATCGACTTCCACTTCAAGTTGTCCCATCCCTCGATTCCAGGCTATTGAGAGACCATCCAGAACAGCCCAAAGCTCGGCATAAAGGACTGAACAACGTCCAATATTTCGATAATAACCAGCTATCCACTGACCATTGTTATCACGGAAACCACCTCCACTAGCAGCTTCCATGGAATTTTGATTCACAGCACCATCGCAATTAAGCTTGATGCCTCCACGGCTAGGTGGCACCCACCTTCGTCTTCGATTCCGATTACTAGGATTGCACTGATGATTCCGAAGAACACGTGCCCAAGACCACGCCGATTTGATTGCAGCCGGCGAAAACCAAACCATCACAATAAAAGTTGTTTGTCAATATAATCAAAATTGTGTAACGAAATAACTTATCACATTATTTGTTTTGCTCACCACTCCTTTATAACTTTATAAAGCGTCTTGTTCGACAGAGATAATGAACTTTTATGAAGGTTATCGAATTTTTTTTATGTTGGTCGTTATTCTCAAAAGAAAGTTTCGTTTTTCTTCATATCATTGGATTTACTATTTTTATTTTTGTATAAGTGTTATGATAATATTTGTTCTTATTTTTTATATATATTTGAATGTTCTATACTTATGATTTATTATATTATTTTTATTAATAAAATTCAATTGTCATCGTTAGGGGTGTAAATGAGCCGAGTCAAGCTCGAGTATCGCTGAGCTCAACTCGACTCGAAAACTCTGAAATGCAGTTCGACTCGACTTGAAAACTCACGAGCTTAAAATTTTTAAACTCGACTCGAAATCCTGAATTGAAGCTCGTGAGCATCTCGAAAATGCTTGAAATGAAAAAACAAATCTTAAACTTAACTAGATTGAAGCCTCAAACTCGAACCTGAACCTTAAATACATGAAAGTCTTACTGTATTTTTTTAAAAAATCAACATATAAATGTTAATATTATTAATAATTTGTTTTTTTTTAAATAAAATCTTAATATATTATATTTTTGAGCTGCTCACGAGCTTTTCGAGTCGAGTATCAAGTAGCTTGTTTCAGCTCGTTAAGAATTCGAGTCGAGTCTATTCGATCCGAGTATTTATCGAGCCTTGACCGAGTCGATCTCGAATAGCTCGCGATCTGTCTCGTCTCATTTACAGCCCTAGTCATCGTTAACCATTTTCATGAGAAGGTTTTATACCTCTCAAATTATTTTTATTTTATTTTACAAATAAAAGATACTACCTTGTAATGTAATAAATATTGATAAAATAAGAAAGCAATGAATAAATGATTGGAGAGTTAAATTAAAACGAAATAATATCTAAAAAGGAAATTTCATTGGATGAAAAAGCATCAGTGTACTTAAATGAACACTTATTAAGTACAACATATTTTTGGGTAAAAAAAAAATTAGAAATCTATGTTCCAAGTTACATCCGCTGTAGTAACAGCTATCAATAGGGGTGTAAAAAGTAGACTCGATCTATAAAATTGATTGAAACTGACTCGAGTTAAAATTGTTTTTGACTTGCGTTGTGATGATCCGAAACCGACTTGAGTCGAAATTGGTGTTCACCTGAACCCGAGTTGGACCTGAAAATTATGGATCTGAACCCGACCTGCATCCGACCTGAACCCGAATTGAACCGAAAATATGATACCCGAACCCGAACTGCATCCGACTGATATGAACTCGAACCCGATATTAACCTGGTAAATAACTGGTATTACCCAACCTGTTTTCAACATGACATGTTATGAACCTGATCAGTAATTAACTCAACCTGTAAATGATCCGACATATTGTTAAGTGATATAATATTATCATGACTTATAAGTGAAGTTATAATTAATATAATTATATTATTTTAAATTTATAATAAATTAATGATAATTAAATTATTATGATAATTAAATTAATATGATTACTTTTTAAAATTTTATCATAAATTATTATGATAATTAAATTAATATGATTACTTTTAAAATTTAGTTTTATATTAATTATAATTTATATATTATAAATTTGATTTTTATATTAATTCCAATTCATAAATTTCTTTATATTTCTTATATTATAAATTTTATTTATAATCAATAAATTAAATTTAAATATTATCTTATTGAATTTGATTTTATTAAATTATATTACCTTAGTTAATATATTCATAAATCTAATTTACTTTTAATGTGAAAATTAATATATAATTTAAGTAAACTTAGCTTGAAATTTTAAAATCAAAATATATTAATCGAAATGATGGACTTATTAAAGATTAAAAACTTAAACATTACAAATACTAAAAAAATATTTATAAATGAAAGTAATTTTATTATACTTAAAAACACTAAAATTACAATAAAATCAATTAAACAAAATAAATTTATATTGAAATAAATAATCTCAAATCTTATAGCTAATATTTACAAGGCTAAAAAGCCTAACTATACTACCAAAAATATCATCTTCGAGCTTTTATACCTAAATGCTACGAATATGTTTAATTATGGACAACTTTATAGCTTTAAAAGCCAAAATGTCACCAACATAATTCAACATGAATAACTATTTAGATAAGAATTTATAAGGTTCCAAAATTGATTTAAGTCATACCAACAACAATAATTTACAAGACATTAGTGAGTAATAGACAGCAGTAACAACAAGCATCAATGTACCAATTCAACAAGCATCGTTGCATCGATTCAGCAAGCATCCTACATTAAGAAAACATACAATCAGTGGTAAAACCAAAGGGAATTCAATGGCCAACAGTGCCAAACATTTTCGACTTTACTAAACCCTTACTATAGCAACATACAAATGATTACGGCCTGGTGTAATAACAAGACCAGAAAAATTACTTTCAACATATAAATGATTAAATAATTTGCATATTTCAACATAAGAGGATATCAAACTAATTGCTTGAACAACTTCTCATATACGTGAAGGGTACCTTCCATCCTGGGAATAGTTACCAGCTCTACCACTGCTATCCCTGCAGAGAAGATGTTCATGTAATCACATTGTTCATGACAAGCATACCGTCAAGGTAAGAGTAACATACTTAAAATTCAATAAGGAGGATCATAAAACTACTAATGTGTTAACGCAATAATTATTGTTACTATTATATTCCTAAACCGTACAACCAAGTGATATGCATTTTAAGGAAAGAAAGGAACAGAGAGGCACCTGATGGAGT